TGTTTGTGCTGGGATTGCCCCGACCCAGGGGTGGGACCTTGCCCTTCGCCTTGTTGAACCTCATGAGGTTTCCACGGGAAGTTTTGCATACATGGATGTATTTCACGGATAGATCCTTAATGACACATACATTTTGCATATATTGCTTGTAAAATGCAAGTACTGTTTCAGGTCTTAGTTTTCAATATCTGTGTCTGTTGTCTGTGGTCTCTCTTTGACCAGATCTCAGGACGAGTTTGTTATATCAGAGGAGAACCTGGATGAGAGTGAGGATGACCCCCCATCAAATGAGGACAGCGATTCCGAGTTCTGTGCCCGCATCTCCAGGCGACACCTCTCCAGGCCCATGAGGCAAAGCAGGAGGTTACGAAGGAAAACAGTCAAGAAAAAATACTCTGAAGATGATGAAGATGAAGATTCTGAGGAGAATTCAAGCAGAGAATCTGGTGAGTACAAGAAATCTTTGCTCTACTCAATACTCTGTACCAGAGAGGGGAAGAGTGGAAGTGTCAGTTTGCTGGCACGACTGACACTAACCTGTTGGCTTGCTTTGCTCAAGTCAGATGTCATCTTTGCTGTGAAGTAGTTTGCTGCTTGTTCTGAGCTCTGTGTTCTTGGCATTTTCACTAATTATGTGTTTAAATGAATGCTTGTACCTTTATGGATAGATACAGCTACCCCGTACCTTCCTGTTTGGCACATGACTGCAGGGAAAGGAAAGGATGGAGCAAAAACAGACTTCATAGCTACTCAAAGACCTTCCAGCTGCCTTTGAAGAAGCTTCTGAAAGAAACATTTTCCTCTCTTTCTGTGGAAGAAAATTCCTTCAGTTGAATGGCATTCTGTGTTCTGGCTTGAAAGCCAACCATAACACCTTGAATCTCTCTTCTATAATTGTCCTTTCTGATATTTAGTAACTGAAGACTCTTCTACAGGAGAACTTAATAATTCACTTTATTTTGCTTGTCCTTCAACCAGTTTGGTTTCTGTTTGTGCAGTCTGAAGTGTGAGAACAGTCCTTATGAGATACTTACACCTTTTCAGGACTTGCATCTTCCCCTGAGGATTGTCCTCCTTGTTTCTGCTTCATCTGAGACCCCGTTCTGGAAAGTGCCAGATACATAAGCACTTATTTTCACTGTGAATTTAAGGTAGTAAGTACAATGGAGCAGTAACTTAGTGCAGTGTGTGTTACCTTCCCAGTGTTCTGTCTGTCTTTTTACAATAGAGATGAACATGTTGGAGTAAGTTGCTTTGAAATACTGGTTTCCAAAAGGAGGGTTCATGCATGGGTGGATGAAGATAGCACTTAAAATAGGTGTAGTCTCCCTGCCCTGAATGCATCCTATCTTAAGCTGTTCCCAGTGAAGATCCTGGCAGAAGTCTAAAGCAATTGTTCATCTGTAACACACAGAAGCAAGTACTTGTTTCCTGGTGGACACACGACTGTGATAAACCCAGCTGATTCCAGTGTCATTCCATATATATCCAAGAGTATAGTCTTAACAATGTGCTTCTCTTTCACGCCCGCTGTTGTCCCTCAGGATGCTGCTTTAGGCCTATTTTGAGCTAAGGAAATAAGGTTCCCTGTGAGTGGCTTCATTTTCAGTCTCCAGAGATGGAGTTTCTTCCTGAAGGTGGTTCTTATTGGCTTGCTCTGACTCTTCCTTCAGTACTTTAGGAAGTAAAGAGGATGTGACTCGTGTCAATCACTAACTTAGGAAGAGAATGTGACATGTATAGTACTTATCTTGGGATACTTGTTCTGGCACAGTGAAAAAGCAGTTAAAGTTGATTCAAGGCTGTTTAATTCTTGAAGGCAGTAGCTGCTATAGACTGGTGCAGGAAGAACTGTGGATGATGGTAAGTGTCTCCTCTACAGTTTCTGGTTTAAGCAAACTTATCTAATGAGACTGATTTTTGTTATTCATTACAATTCTGTAGCTCAGATCTGGAGTTTCATCATGTCAATGGTGTTTCCTTGACCTGTTCTTCAACGTGTTTGAGTAGAGTACAATATACTTAAATTGAAAACCAGAAAGGACTTACCAGGGTCATGTTCCTCATCATCAGCTGCAATTCAGTCAGGTTGTTCCAACTGTCAGGAAGTGCAGAGGAAGCATCTTCAGCACCAGTAGGGATGAGGGAACAAAAACTCTGGAAGGAAACCACCTTCTGGACCAGTTTGAGGGAGATAGGAAAAGGGTTTGTGAGAAGATTTGAAAATCATAGAACCACAGAGTGGTTTGTGTTGGAAGGGACCTTAAAGCTCCTCCAGCTCCAACCCCTGCCACAGGCAGGGACACCTTCCACTAGAGCAGGTTGCTCCAAGCCCCTGTGTCCAACCTGGCCTTGAACACTGCCAGGGATGGGGCATCAATCAGCAGTTCTGTGCTGGTGATGAATGGGGGGCTGATGCACGAGCCTGGAATGGGTCAGGATAACAAGAGTCCTGTGCTGGGCAAGCACATGGATTTAGTGGTGCTGGTCTGAAGCTGATCTAAGTTGTTTTGCTCTCATGGAATAACCCACGTCACCATTTCCTTCCATACAGAGAGTGGTGATTACACAGATTACAGTGATGACGATTACCTGGAAACCAGGAGGAGAAGATCCCGACGGAATCAGAAGAGACAAGTCAATTATAAGGAGGATTCAGAAAGTGATGGCTCACAGAAGAGTGTCCGATATGGGAAGGAGTTAAGGAGAGTTCATAAACGCAGACTCTCCACTTCGGACAGTGAAGGTAAAATGAACAGTCCCCTCTTTGCAGCAGCTGGTGTATGTCAGCATTAACACAAAGTGAAAACTATACATAATACAGAGCTTTTGGAGAATATTCCTTCTAGAGTTCCTTGAGGTTTCCTTCTGAAGCATTCCACTGGCACTTTATGATGCACTGTTACAGTCACAGCAAAGTCATCGTCGTCCCTTCCAGGTCTGAATTTACTGTGTCTGGCACAGAGTGCTGGGGTTCCCAAACTGGCACTAATGTAACGTGTTTCACCACTTCTCTGTTAGTCTCAAAGCTTTCTCCCATAAACCTTTAAAGATTCCCTTTTGTAAGGAAAAGGGTGTTACTTCTGTTACCCCGAGTGTATTTGTGCTCATGGTTAAGCCTCATTCCATCTCCTGTTTGAAAGAGCTGTGGGAAGCACGGAGGAAGCCTGCTCTTAGTACTGTCAGTCACACCATGAGCAACTCGTGTGCATTTTGATGTAAAATCATCTACTGCAAAAGCAACCACTGATTTTGGGTGCCCTTCATTCTGGGTGCCAGCTTTTGAGAGCTCAGGTCTGGCTTTAGCAGCAACACTGAGCAGCACAGGTTGCAATGGATGCCAGGCTGCCTCTGCAAATTGGCTGTGCTCGACAGGCTGAGCACATCGAATTTGTAGGTAAGTTTTGGAAGTGCTGGCTTGAGTTTACAGAGTGGTAGAGGATCCTCTTAGATGAAGGGAAACAAGTAGGTAATGCAGCTGTATAGTATCTTGTGAGACCCCCCCTGCAGCCCTGATCCAGCTCCGTAGCAACAGCACAAGAGGGACGTGGAGCTGCTGGAGCGAGGCCAGAGGAGGCCCCGGAGCTGCTGCGAGGGCTGGAGCAGCTCTGCTCTGGAGCCAGGCTGAGAGAGCTGGGCTGGGGCAGCTGGAGAAGAGAAGGCTCCTCAAGGGGACACCTTAGAGCAGCTCCAGGGCCTAAAGGGGCTCCAGGAAACCTGGAGAGGGGCTTTGGACAAGGGATGGAGGGACAGGCCAAGGGGAATGGTTTTAACCTGCCAGAGGGGAGATTGAGATGAGCTCTGAGGCAGAAGCTCTTCCCTGTGAGGGTGCTGAGGCGCTGGCACAGGGTGCCCAGAGAAGCTGTGGCTGCCCCATCCCTGGAACTAGATCCGAGATAGAGTTCTATGTTATTCCTGGCATGCAGTTACCACTTTCAAGGGGGAATGCACCTGCCTCCAAACCCTCTGGTGCTCCTCAGATTGGAAACAGAATATCAACAAATTGTTGTCTTTGCTCCTTGAGCAGTTTGTTCAAACAGTAAAAAGCATGCAGGAGTTCTGAGCTGGTTGGGGAACCTGGGGCAGGAGACAGAAATGTGTGTGGGGAGAGAGAGGTGGCTTTGTAGTGGGTGTGAAAGATGAAGACTAAAATAGTGTGATAGTTCTGGTTGCACTCCCTTGCTAATGGCTTTAAGTCTGCTGCTTATTCCAGAGAGCTACACATCAAAGAACTCTGAAGATGATGAATCCACAAAGGAGTCCAAGCGATTGATCCGGAAACGCCGGCGAAGTACAGACGACTACACTGAGGAGGAGGGGGAGGAGGAGGACGAGGGGCGGCCTGTCCGCAAACGGCTCAACCGGATTGAAACGGATGAGGAAGACACCTGTGAAAACACCAACGATGACCCAGAGAAACCCGCTCCTGCACATAAGCTGCCAGCACCACAAGCTCCCCAAGACAACACCAAGAAGCACTGCTACCGGATAGAAAGCGACGACGAAGATGACTTTGATAACGTAGGCAAAGTAGAGAGCCCTTTGGACTACAGCCTGGTGGACTTGCCTTCCACCAACGGACAGAGCCCAGGGAAAACCATTGAGAACTTGATTGGGAAGCCAGCTGAGAAGACCCAGGCCCCCAAAGACAGCACAGCCAGCGCCAGCCTGGCGCCCAACGGCACGGGGAGCGGGCAGGAGGCGGTAGGGCCGGAGGAAGATGAAGATGAACTCTTGCGAGTGACTGACCTTGTTGATTACGTCTGTAACAGTGAACAGTTATAAGACTTCCATTTTTTGTGCTAATTTATTCCACGGTAGCTCATACCAGCGGGCCAGTTATTAAAAGCTGTTTTATTTTTCCTAGAAAATTCTCCACTACAGTATCACTTTTTAGAAGCAAGAATTTCACCAGTCCTGCAGTCTTTCTGTGAAGTGACCAGTTTTGAACTTTGAAGATGAATTGCTGTAAATTCCCTCTCTCTTATCCCTTCCTCCCCTTTGTCCTTCCAAGTCCATGGTCCTGGGTAATTTCACTCACAAAAACCTTATAACAACAAGAGATTTGTATATTTTTGACTTTATATTTCCTTGAGTGCATACAAATTTGTGGAAATGGGTGGCCTAAGAAAGCATTCCAAATCGGTCAGGGCCCAAACCGGAGCTGGGGTGGGTTTGGCTCAAAGAGGGGGTGGGAGGGGTGGGTGCAGAAGCACTTGTGCTTTAGCTTTTTCATATGAGATATATATTATATTTAAATGTTCACAACTTAGAGTACAACTTAACAGACAGTTAAAAGAAAGATTAATGTCTGTACTGTCGCATTTTGTGAGTTGTAGGTTAACATACCATAGCTCATTTTAGTAATCACCTTCATGGATGCAGTTTTGAGTTGAATACTGGAGGCAAACAGAATCCTTAGAGGCCAAGAAGGTACCATAAACAAGAACTCTACTATCCATTATGACTTGCAGACTTTCCTAATAAACATCCTTTAAAGTGTTTGTACAGTAAAGTGTACTGTAATGAAGTTTTTGGCAGTCCCAACACGCTAGCCATCAATCTCTAAAGCTGTCTCATCCGATGCTCCTCGATGCAGTGTCTAGAGGAAGGATGTACCAAGGTGAAGCTTATCTGTAAGCTGGATGGCAACCTGACGTGCTGGAAGCTCGTACAGACACAAAGAACCCTGCAGTAGCTGCCTGGCCACTCGAGTTTCACCATGTTGGAGTATTCCCAGCGAAATCCGTGTGTGCAGAGAGCAGTGACCACCAGAATGACAGTGCATCAGAGGATTGAGGGATTTACAACTAAACCACCACTGGTCCATTCATGTCCTTAATATCTACTTCAAATTGAAGTAAACAAATGGAACAGTTTTCCTTTGGGAGGTTTTCTGTCTGAGGTTTGTGTGTTTTTTGTTTTGCTTTTACTTCTCTGCCTGGATGTTATTAGCAGGTTCTGAATGTAGTGTTGGCCTTTGGCCACTAGGATTTTCTTACTACATGTTAATAATTGTCCTGTGACCCAAGTGGTTTCAAGAAGGCAGTGTTTCTGAGAGAGAACACTCAGCTCCAAGACATCCCATCAGCTGCTGAGTGGGCATGAAGTGATCCGTGCTTTTATTCAAGGAGAAAAAGACAACAGAGTTAAAACCCCAGCCACCATGGGACATGTTTTGGGGAGCATTAAGTTTACTATGACTCAAGCTGCAGGCTGTAGCATTTGTACATGTTGTAGCACACAGACAGCTCAGATCTGCCAAACACTGAAATCCAACAAGGTCATATTAATCCTTTTGCTCTGAGATTGGGAGTTTGGACTGGTGTTGATGTCCATTGCCGGCAATGGATGCACCAAAACTGCTGCTGCCACTGAGGAGTGAGTTCTCCTTCCCTGCCCCACCGACCCCCTTCCATTATGTTTTATTTCCTAGTCAGTCATGAAGCACTTCTGTTCTCTTGTCATTCAACTGGCATTAGGCCTTTACTAAATACCTCTCTAGAAAACCTACATCCCAAAACTGCCTTTCTTCTGGCCTTGGAAGTCTTGGCTTTGTTTCCCCAGCTCTCTCTATCCAAACCACTCTGACTCTTCCTCACTTGGGTTCCAGCAGTGCACATATCCTGCTGTAGAACTAGAATCAGATGGAACTCATGATCTGCTGTGCTAAGCAAGCTTGTAACTTAAAAACAAATGAGACATCACTCTCCAAACGAGATCTTGATTCCATTAAAGATTAATTCTTTTTCCACCTTCCTGCTGTTAACTGTTAGGTTTTCAGGAGCTTTCATTGTTAAAACAGGGTAGTGAAAAGCCACAGAAGCATAGGATGAAGTTCTAAAGAGCATATTGTAGCATTTTAAGCTACTCAAGTGGTTTTCTTTGCTTAAGTGATGCATAAATGTAGTGCTGCTACGTTTCTAACACACTTGTGCTTTAAACCAAGCAAGAACATAGTTTCTGCTTCTCAATGTTCATAGTTGCTGAGCATTTCTAATGCTTGCCATGGAAACTGATTCATGTGCAGCTGATGGATTCTCATTTGTTCTGGCAGTGCCATAATCTCTTCTGCTGCCTGATGGAGCCTTTTAGTATCTGATCAGTGCTGTAGCAAACGTTCTTGCTTGCAGAGTCACCCCAAATGTTAAATGCATGGTGGGCAAGTAATTGTGAATGTAGGAAAATACAAAAGGGTTGAGATACTAAATATACCAACCCGGATAATACTGAGTTAGGGACTGATGTCAAAGCAGAAAAGATCAGGAAGCAGAATTGGAGCATTGAAGCTTAAATCAGGAATGTCATGTTTTAAAAGCATGGAATGACGAGTTGTTCCCAAGTTTCACTTCTCAAAAACAGCTTTTCTCTCTTCCTAGAAGTCACATGTAGTACCTGAGATAGCTTCATTCCCCAGGATCCAGAGGTCCCCTTTAGACCAGTGGGAATGTTGTGTGAGTCTGAACTGCAAAATGTGCCCTTCAGAAAGTCTTAACAGCTTCAAACTCTTATTTCATTTCTAAGGAAAATGTACAATCTCCTGTTTGGAAAGATGCTGTTTTCTGACTGCTGCCCAGGGTTTACACTGGGATAGTATGTGTATGTGATTCCAGAGTGGAAATGTCCTCCTGGTGTCCCTACAGTCTTGCACTCTTCTGTACTCAAAGATCAGAAGTTAAATGTCTTGAGTAGTGATCTTCAGGTGGCTTTGGACCAACAGAAGGCTCAAAACTGTATGAGAACTGGGGATCTCTTTAAATGTAATGGATTTAAGATACAAGAACAACTATTAGCTGAATGTACAGAGCATTTATTCCACACAGCTTGATACTAAAAGCTTTCTCTTTAACTATTCATAATGTAACCAATGGGGGAGAAAGGGAATTGATGTCTGTGTGCAGGTTAAGTAGCACTGGTGAGGGGAAGACCCTGTAAATTGAGTGGAGACATGGACTTCTTTGTGTCACCAAGATAAATGTTGGCCATTTGCTTCCTTGTGTGCAGCTCAACCCTTAGTGTTGGAATCCTGTAGGAAGGTCAGTGCTGAACAATCAACTTTGTACGTGTTGAATTATGTTGTGAAATTATTGCATCTTCCTGGCGTTTATTCCTTAACCAACAGGTTGCTCTGTTCTGACAGCACCTGAGAGGAACTGAGATGCTTCTTCCCTAAACCGCTTGTTTAGGAAGTGTGCATTAAAGTGCCTCAGTTCCTCTTCGTACAACAGGGGGTCATGGCTGAGCTGGCTTGTTTTCTGTTCACTTCTGTTGCTCGTGGCTGTGTGTGAACCCTTGGTGAGACCTTACTCATAGAACCTCAAGGGGAAAAACACTGTATGTTCACAAAAGGAAAACCACATGACAGAAGTGTTCTGATTTGTCTTCACCTCTATCATTTGGGCTACATTGGTATCTAGCTGCTGCTTAACAGCTTGGAGAGTTCATTGCCAGGGTGTCCAGTTTCTACCTCTGGTTTCAAGTGCTTGTAACTTGGGTTTTTCAATGCTCTTCAATAGGAAGGTCTGCTCTCAACCTTCAAATCATTGTTTCAAATGCCATCTTTTCCCTGACTTCTTGTAGGAGAAATAAATGAGGAATTTTTATGGCACCTGCTTTTTAAATTCACTTTGTACACAGGAATTTCAATAAATGATGGCAGTAATGCCAGCCCCCGAGTGCTCTGCTGAAGAGATTTGTATCATCTCATTCAACATGGCAACGCATAGGCCTTGAAAATGGGGTTTGGTACATGTGCAGTGACTACTACTCACTGTTGTCGTGTGGATATGATGTGCACAGAGCACCCAAGATGTGTGTTTACATTTGACATAGGCTCCCAGTTCACTGGGTGTAGGAAATCCTTAAATATATATAAATCTAGATAGCTAAAAGATCAAGTATCTTCAACCAAAACAGACGCTTTGTGAATGTGGTGGGGGAAACTCCAGCAATTCATGTGAAGGAGCCCAACTGCAATTCCTTCAGTGTTTAAAGGAAGGAATGCATTTAGGATGCATTCCTTCCTTAGGAAGAGAAACATTTAGGATGTTGTGTGAAGGATTTGCAGGATCAAGCCCACATTTCCCAGCAGTCTTTTCTTCCTCCCTTTCCCTAAAGCAGTAGGAAATCTATCTCAGTTAGAATGTTGGAAGGCAGAAATTAGTAAATCCAACAAATTATCCTGATTTTTTTTTTCCCATTATATACTGATGTAAGGAATTCTGTGACTAATTTTTGGTGCTTCACAGTTGAATACCCAATGTGAGACCTAGCTCTGGCTTCAGAACTAGTTCTCAACTGAAGCTGGACACGCAGCAGTTGGGGTATGGAAGGTTACTAATCACTTCTGAAAACACTCATCACTTACTAAAGCTATTACTTTAGGTGTAACTAACTGAGAGAGTTCTAAACAGCAAAAAACCACGTGCTTGGGACTTGATTGTCCCAACGCTTCAGAGTAATTTAACTTATTTTGTATATTGCAAAAGATGTATATTGCTTAGTGTGACACTTAGAAGATTGTGTACAGCTTCTGGGGGAAAGAATCAAATGCTCTAAAGTAGATAAGAGGGGTTTATAATTGAATACGTGGTGTAAAGGCTCCGGATTGAACCGCAATTAAAAGCAAGTCCTACAACTTGGGTTTATGACTATCATTTTGTAACTGCTGGCACCCCACGCCTGAGCTGAGGAGCAGGAGAGGGGACAGTAGAGCAGTTGGAGGGGACACGTGCTCAAGGAGGGCACGTGTGTCTGTGAATAGATCTGCTATTGCTACGTAGAACCCCAGAGGTTCCTAAGGAGAACTGGGCAGAGCTGCTCTGGCCGGTCAGTTGGTTTACTTGTGCACTTGGCAGCACTTTGTGTATAGTCGGTCTCACTGGTTCCCCAGGTGCAGACAGAGCTTTCTCCTGCTGTTGGACCAGCAGCAGGAGATGGGGAATGGATGGAGGGAAGTGGAATGGAAAACGTGTATGCAAACCCATGCCTTTTGCAAGATGGGTCTTGGACAGGCCTAAACATGACTTCTGAGTTAGCCTTCATAGACTGTGTATCCAGTGGAAGGTCTCTGTTGAGGAGAATCATCCTGATACCCTCCTTTTCTCATCCTGACCTTCAAAGTAACAGGAAAATCTACTTGAGGTCTCCTTCCTTGTGGGAATCAGTGATGTCCCATCAGTGCAATGTGGGTGTGGAGAAAATTAGGGTTGGTTCACAGCATGTTATGGCAGTGTTTGCCTCTGGGGACGTCGGCTGGAGTCTGCAC